GGTTGCCATTCCCTTCTCCAGGGGATCTTCCCAACCCAGGGATCGAACCCAGGTATCCCACATTGCAGGCAGATTCTTTACCATCTGAGCCACCAGGGAAGCAGCAAAGCAGATTCCAAAGTTCGTTTGGCCCCCAGTTAGGATGGGCTGTCCTGTAGACTCCCAGTCACTGGCAGACGGCCCCTTGTCCAGGCTGTCAAAGTGGGTAGTTATTGCTCCTTAGCCCCTGAGCTGAAATGCTCATCTTGTTCCCCTCCAACGCAAAGAAGCAACGAACTTTGCTGCATGAAGTCATCAGAGGGTAGACTCACCACTCTCCACTCACCAAGGTGGGAGGGAGATGACACCGGGTTTCACTTCCTGATACGAATTCTAGGAATGAACTGAGAACCCTCTATCCCCACCATTACTGAGAGTCTGTGGGAGATGACCACCCCCTTTATCCCAAGTCTTTTAGGACTACCTGACTGTGAATCCATTTTGCCAAAGGTAAAGCCTAAGGGAAGCTTTTAGCTGGGCCTGAAAAAAATAAAGATGAGCGCTCCCTCTCACCAAATCATTTCCACTGTATTTTGGCTTCCAGGGGTAAGTGTTCATCTGCTCTATCTACACATTTTCTCTTTTGTGTTAGTTTCATCTAAAACTTTCCGTTTCAATCACAAATCACATCTGTCTAAGCTATGTTGTATCCAACGCCCCCGAATGTGGAGACTGGTTTCTTTTGGATGCTTCTCCTTACTATGCTTGTGTGTTTATCATTTCAGTTTGTTAAGCCTGTGTCTGGTCTCTTTTTCGGCTATCAACTGTGTCGGGGGGGCACTATTAAAAATACTCATATTTGGGGTTTCCCTGGTGGCTCAGTGGTAAAGAATCTGCCTGCCAATGCAGGAGACAGAGTTCGATTGCTGATCTGGGAAGACCCCACATGCAGTGGAGCAACTAACCCCAAGCACCACAACTCCTGAGGCCATGTGCTGCAACTACGGAAGCCCGTACACCTAGAGCCTATGCTCTTCAACAAGCGAAGTCACCCCAGTGAGAAGCCCGTGCACTGCAATTAGAGAGTAGCCCCTGCCTGCCTCAGCTAGAGAATAGCCCCCACTCGCCGCAACGAGAGTAGCCCATGCAGCAACGAAGACCCAGCACAGCCAAAAATAAAATAAGTAAATACAATTTTTTAAAAATACTCATAGTTAATCCTTCATTGAGCCCTTGAATGAGACACTCATCATGTAATCTATCAGATAATCCTCACCAGCCCACAACCTTGGAGCTGGGGACAGCCTCTCTCCACTCATTGTGCTCAGAGGAATCTTTTCATAAGACAACACTTATCACATCACCAATCACAGGCCTAGGTGGCTTCCAGGGTCCTGCTGCCCCCAAACCCCAGTGTATCTCCTACCAAGACCCCTCACTCCAAGCTCAAGCTACATGGACCTATCGTCTCTTCCAAGTTGTCATACTCTTTCCAGTCATGGAATTTCTGTGTATATTCTTCCCTATCCCTGGGGTTGCCCTTGTCCCATCTCTCCTTCCTATGCATCATTTGGGCCTTAATTAATGTTATTTCCAGCCCTCAGCACCTCAGAATATGACTGCTTTTGGAGACAGAGCCTCTAATGAGTTAAGTATGTTAAAATGAGAAAATTAATGCGGGCCCTAATCCGATCTGGCTGCTGTCTTCATGAGAAGAGATTAGGACCTCTGGAGAGAAGCCGTGGTTGCAAGTGCACAGAAGAAAGGCCTTGTGGGACTTCCCTGGTGGTCTAGTGGTTAAGACTCCACACTTCCACCACAAGGGGCATGGGTTCAATCCCTCTTCTGGGAACTAAGATCCCACATACTGTGCAGTATGGACAACTTTTTTTTTTTTTTTTAAAAGCCATGTGAGGATGCAGGGAGAAGGTGTCAGTCTGTAAGCCAAGGAAAGAGGCCTCAGGGGGAACCAAACTTGCTTGCACCTTGATCTTGGACTTCCAGCCTCCAGGACTGTGAGAAAATAACTGTCTGTTGCTGAAGCCACCTGGCCTGCAGTATTCTGTTGCAGCAGCCCAAGCTGACTAATAACTATTAAGAAGTCACTCCCTCAGAGAGATTCCCCACCAACACTCCCCATTTCAGCACTATATTGTTTCTCCTCTGTCATGCACATCACAGTTTGCAATTAGTCACTTATTTGGAAGACTACCTGGATGTCGTCTGTATCCCATCCTCAGGATCCAGACACCCGGACAGGAGGAAATGTGTGTTTAGGTTCTCCACAGAGTCTCCAGCAACTAGCAAGCATGGTGCTTGCTGGTCACGTGGGGGTGAGGTGTTCCCTGTTGTTGAATGAAAGTCTGAAATATTATTTCACTGACATTAAGAATGAATGCCATGAAGCCCAGTGGAAGTGTGGGATTCTGTAACTCAAAATCAGAGGTTAGAGAACGCTGTTCTTTTCTCCATCTCTCCCTCTCTCTCTCTTTCCCATGCCTTGAAGCATGTGGGATCTTAGTTCCCAAACTAGAGATTGAACCCACTCCCCCTGCATTGGAAGCACAAAGTCTTAACCACTGGACTCCCAGGGAAGTCTGAGAATGCCTATCTGCATAAGGATTGTTTGAGTCAAGCCTTGATGGAGGTAAGAGAGGGAGACTTGGGGCTATTTGAGGACAAGCTCCAAGCAGAGGTAAAAGCAAGTTCAGTGTCCTGGAGGCAGATGGAAGCCTGGCAAAATGACCTATATGGCTGGAGTAAAGGAAGTAAGTGAGTGGAAATTAGGAGAAGGGCTCAGAAAGCTTCCACGGGCCAGGTGATGGAGGACATTTGTGTGTGTGTATTCAGTTGCTCAGCTGTGTCTGAGTCCGTGTGACCCCATGGACTGTAGCCCACTATGTTTCTTCTGTCTATGGGATTAACCAAGCAAAATACTGGGTTGCCTTTTCCTCCTCCAGGGGATCCCCCTGATCCAGGGATCAAACCTGTGTCTCCTGGGTTGACAGGAGGATTCTTTACCACTGAACCACCAGGGAAGCCCCGGAGGACATTTGTAGCCATGGTCAAACTTTGGCTTCTACTTGAGTGAGAAAGAAGTCTTTGGAAGGTTTTGCACAAAAGAAGCCATGTGGTATGACTTTGAACAGAATTACTCAGGCTGTTTTCATGTGAAACATAGATTGAGAAAGAAATGGGTAATGGTAGAGTCTGGAAGAACAGTTTGGAGGCCATTACAATAACCCATAATCTATGAGACATGAGGGGCTGGGTCTAAGATGGTGTAAGTGGAGGTAGGATTCTAGGTATATTTTTAAGAAAAAAATGTTTCTCAAAAATTTGTTGACAGGTTGGATGTAGGATGAAGAATACAAGGTTTGGAGTCTGAGAGCTCAAAGGTTGGGTGTTCCATTCTCTGAGAGAAGGAAGAGCATGGGGAGCACATTTTGGTGGAGAGGCTCAGGAGTTCTGCTCTAACAATGAGTTTGAGCAGCTGACTGGAACTCAAGTTTTGATTCCAAATAGATAGTTGTATATTTAAGTACTGGGGTTCAGGGGAGAGGCTCTTATCAGCATATAGTTGGTCTCTAAGGTCATGAAACTACATGAGATCACCAAGGTATAGTAAGTGGAAAGAAAGAAATTCAAGGAGCCAGTACTCTGGGCACTGCAACATTGAAAGTTCTGTGGAATGAGGAAGAACTAACAATTGAGACTGAGAAGTAGTGTAACTGAAAGTGGGGTTTGGCTGCTCACTTCTCAAAAGCCATTAGAGAGGCCAGGTTGGTGGAAAGGGGCATTTCCTTTATTTTGGATGCCAGCAACCAAAGGGAGAGTGGACGCCTGTTCAAAGGCCAACTCCTTGCCACTGACAGTCAGTGGGCAAGAGCTTTTAGAGGCTGAGGGAGGGGGCTACATACAGAAACAGAACTATCAGCTGACAGTCACCTTGAAACTGGTCATCAGTGGTCTGACCAGCGTCATCTCGACAGTTTTAAGTACAGTTAATATTCAGCTCCAGGGTTAGTTTGTTTCCATTTCTGGCATCCAGTTCTTGGAATTCTGGTGGCTTATGTCATGGGTAAAGTCTGGTCATGATGTAGTTAACTTCTTCCACCTGGGGTTTCAGTGTCTATAAGACAGCTGACAAGATATGGCTCGGAATATTATCTATAGCCCTTGGGAAGGAACTAAGAAGGAACTATGCTTAATGGTATATTATTATTTACTCTCCTTTGTTTTTCTTTGTTTCTGAGTTTCTTCACTTCTCTGATTAAACTTATTCTTTGGCTAAAGTTTGTTTTTTTTTCCCCCACAGACAAAAGGCAGGCAGAGGATGTGGGGTACAAGGACCATAGGGTCCTGTTCAGTTTCAGTAGGAAGAAGAAAACCGAGAGTGGGCAGTCCTGCAAGTCAAGTGAAGAAAGTGTTTCTTGGAGGTGAAGTGATAAACTGTTTCAAATGTTGCTGACAGAGGTGAGAAAACAACAGGAAGAAACTGTGCAGGTAAAGCATTCAATAAAGAGGGGGAGAGGGGGCCACTGGGACTACAAACACTCTTTCAAGGAGCTTTGATATCTGGAGAAAGGTAGAGAACGGCGGTGTGAGTCCCAGGGAGAAAGGAATCAAAGAGTTTCTTAGGAAAAAATATTTTCATGCTTATGGGAAATTGAGGCTCAAAACAGTTAGGTTACCGCCCAGAACGAAGTCGTCTGGTCCAGATTCTTCTTCCTATCCCTACGCTGCCTAAGTGATAAATTTAAGCCTTATTGGGGTCTCTCTGCCCGGCCCACAATAGGATCTAGGGCAGTTTGAATTTTTACTTTACTTGAATCAGAGGTACAACCGAAATTTACTGCCTTAAGTCAAGAAACCCCTCAAATTAAATTTTAGGTTCTGAGTCTAATTTTGGGGGGTTCCTGGAAGTCGCGGGGCGAACTTCGAGAAGGCGTCGGAGTTGCCAGGGGAACCCATGCACACAGAGACCTACAGCGCCGCCCGCAAGCTTTCGGAAACCTTACCAACATTAGCTGATCGGCTCTCCTCCAATCTCTTATCGGGGACCGGGCTCAACGCCCGGTCTCCACAGCAACGCCTTTGTCTGAGCCCAGGACTTGGGTACCGTGGGAGGCGCGCTCGGATGACGTCATGCACCCCCGGCGCTTGCGTGACATCAATTCCAGAGCAGAAGGGGGCTCAGCCTGCCCGCAGGTATGAAAACGAGTAAGGCCTCGGACACTGCGCACGTGTCATTTCAGGTTGGCGCCTGTATAGTTCTTAAACACCAAGTTGTGAGCGAGCAGTCTTAAAGTCTGCATGCCTGCGCTGCTGTGCCTTTAATTTTAGCCAGAGAAACCATCAGAGATTTGCTTCAGTTCCATCTGGCTTTCTAAGGGCCTAAGGGCAGATACCTGGGAATCGGACAGTTTGTCTCTCCTGTCTCTTACCGCTCCTGGTGGTGGTGCTGCTAAATCGCTTCAGTCGTGTCCGACTCTGTGCGACCCCACAGAGGGCAGCCCACCAGGCTCCCCCGTACCTGGGATTCTTCAGGCACACACTGGTGTGTGTGTGTGTGTGTGTGTGTGTTAGTCGTTCAGTCGTGTCTGACTCTTTGGGATTCTTCAGGCACACACTGGTGTGTGTGTATGTGTGTTAGTCGTTCAGTCGTGTCTGACTCTTTGGGATTCTTCAGGCACACGCTGGGGGTGTGTGTGTGTGTGTTAGTCTTTCAGTCGTGTCTGACTCTTTGTGACCCCATGGACTGTAGCCCACCAGCCTCCTTTGTCCATGGGATTCTCCAGGCAAGAACACTGGAGTGGGTTGCCATTTCCTTCTCCAATGCATGAAAGTGAAAAGTGAAAGTGAAGTCATTCAGTCGTGTCCCTGGTGCCTTGCATCCTTAATGCCACCTACTAGTCTTGAAAATTCTAGTTGAATTCCCAGATTGTGTTGCCAGCAAGTTTCCTCTAGCAGACCATCTCCTTTCTAAGCCAGTGCTTGGTAAGGTCAGCAAGCAGACTTTTTAACACTTGTTGTTCAGTCAGTCAGTTATGTCTGACTCTTCTTGACCCTTCAGACTGCAGCAAGCCAGGCTTCCCTGTCCTTCTCCATCTCCCAGAGTTTGCTCAAACTCATGTCTATTGAGTCAGCGATGCCATCCAACCACCTCATCCTCTGTCACCCCCTTCTCCTCCTGCCCTCATTCTTTCCCAGCATCAAGGTGGCTAAAGTGTTGGAGCTTCAGCATCAGTCTTTCCAGTGAATATTCAGGGTGGATTTCCTTTAGGATTGACAGATTTGATCTCCTTGCTGTCTAAGGGACTCTCAAGAGTCTTCTCCAGCATCACAATTTGAAAGCATCCATTTTTTGGTGCCCAGCCTTCTTTGGAAATAGGTAAAGTAAGGATAAGCCAACTCTGACTGAGAACCTGAAAAGTTCTCTTGAGTTAAGTATTTGAACTTTTAAGGATTTGTGACTTCTGTTGACAGCTTGTGGTTCCTTCTACCTTCTTTCAGATTTTTAGCCAAGCAGTTGACCTGGCTAGGTAAATGACCTCCAGGTAAATGAAATGTCACTGTTCAGGAACTTTGGGAGCACCCAGGGGTGCTGAGCCCCAGGGGATACAGTGATGATGACAGCACTTGCCATGAGGTATAGCTCATTTCATTGACTCATTCCAGAAACATGAATTTCAGCACCAATTGTGTGCTGGGCATGATTACTGTTCATTGAAGAATGAAGTGAGATCTAGGAGATACGGTGCAGCCAGGAGTCAGACTTGGTTGAAACTTGGCCCTGCTCCTGACTTGCTGAATGATCTGGGGGTGAGTTATGAGCCCCCTCTGCATCTCAATTTTATGATTTGTAAAAATGAGCATAATCCTACCTCCTAAAGACAACCGGCCTATGAGGCAAACCTCATGGTATGATTTGGCTGAGGGGGCTTTTCTTTGCCCCTTTATGTTTATGCCCCTAAACTTCTTTATGTTTCTCCCCTTCTCAGTGCCTGTCTTTTCAGGCCTTACACATAGGACAACACCACTAATGGGAAAACAGCCCCCTGACCAGCACACAGCCTCAGAGGTCATCCACAGATTCTGCTCAAGTTATTTCAGAGACAGCTTTCATCCAGGCGCAGCTTTTTATGGGTCTGTATGCTGAGGCCATGACTGAGCAACTAACACACACAGTCATGCTGAGGCCAAGTTAGGTTTAAGCAGAACTCACTCTCCCACTTCATCTGCAAAGAAGTTCCTCTTAAACCACCCAGATCCAAACAGAAAAAAAAAAAATCCTTTTCTTGAAGTGCGTGGAGGCTTGACACTAGGTGTTGGAGGGTGGCCTGTGAGGTTAGGTCAGATCCTGGGTCACTGTCGGGGAGGGATGAGGCACCATAAGCGTCGGGGAGCGAGTGTCTGGCTCCCTTGTCACCACAAAGCCTGTGGTTTCCAACCCTGTCTGCATCCCCGTCCTGCTAAACAACAGAGGGAGAGAAAACAGACATGCACACAGGCGGACACACACACACACACACAGCCTTCAGAGGAAGTAAAGCACCAGATGTTCTGGGTTTCCTGTTCGATGCTTCCACAGCTGGTCGGGTCTGTGGTTGTGGTTTGTCTGTCTCGGGCTCATGTGAGAGACAAAAGCTGGGCTGACGGGAAACCTCCCCTCTCGGCCCACCCCCTTCCTCAGCTCTAACTGATCAGTCACACGGAAACCTGGCAGGTCAGACATTTCCTGAAACACCCAGAGCCTGGATTCTCCCAGGAGGAGGCTGAGTACCCCCAGCCCTGCAGAGCAACCCTGGGGCTGATGGTCAGCTAGATCCTGGGGACAATAGAAATCTCTCTCCAAATGTACTATTGATATAGATCTGCATTGCTGCAGAATAGAATGAAGCTGCAGAATAGAATAGAATGACATTGAGTTGCCACACTAAGCCAGTGTCTGACATAGAATAACCATTCAGAAACACTCAGCATATGGAGGAATGAATGAGGGACAGGGATCTTCATCTTGGGGTTCAGTTCAGTTGCTCAGTCGTGTCCGACTCTTTGCCACCCCATGAACTGCAGCACACCAGGCTTCCCTGTCCATCACCAACTTCTGGAGCTTGCTCAAACCCATGTCCATCAAGTTGGTGATGCCATCCAACCATTTCATCCTCTGTCGTCCCCTTTTCCTCCTGCCTTCAATCTTTCCCAGCATCAGCATCTTTTCCAATGAGTCAGTTCTTCATATTAGGTAGCAAAAATATTGGGGTTGAATACTTTGGGGGTTGAATCTACAAGTCCTGGCTCACCATCATGTGTCATAAGTGGCTCTAGATTCAAATTGACAATGGTTTGAAGCAGCACTGTGCTACTGACTTACCACAAGTCATTTAACTTCTCTAGGCCCACTTTCCTCATCTGTAAAATGGAGACAGTAATATCTATTGTCTATAATATGCCAAGAACCTGCCTGCCACTGCAGGAGATGTAAGAGAGCCAGGTTTGATCCCTGGGTCGGGAAGATCCTTTGGAGGAGGGCATGGCAACCCACTCCAGAATCTTTGCCTGGAGAATTCCATGGACAAAAAATTCCATGGAGGAGCCTGGCAGGCTACAGTCCAGGGGGTCATGAAGAGCCGGACACAACTGAGCCACTGACACTTTCAATTTCTCTAAAGATCATCACCACATTATAAGGTAGTGGCGAAGCTTAAATGAGTTAATGTATGTAAATCACTTAGAATAGCTTCTGGCAGTTGTTAAGGGATGGATAAATATTAACTGTCATCAGTGTTCAATTACATTTGATTCTGACAGCAACCTAACTACAGATAGGCTCTGTGAGTAGTGCCATTTCACGGATGAGAAAACTGAAGCTCAGAGAGATGAAGTCACTTTTGCAAGTTCACCGAGGTAGTGAATAGTAAGACTGAGACTCCTCTCCAGTTCTGTCTGACTCTTTCTTGTGTGTGCATGTGTGCATGAGGTTTCAACCGCCTCCTGCAGGTGCATTTTTTTCATCTCCTCCTGGGACCCCTCCTCCCACTCCCACTGCACAAGGCCCAGCCTCCTCCTACAGACCTCCCTGCCTGCAGCCTCCAGCTGCATCCCTGCTTTCAGAGAAAGGTCTTGCTTCCCTGCAGAAATGTACCTTGAAGAGTGACGTCTTATAGATGATTGTGCTTAGCTGGGAGTAATCAAAGAAATGGCTCATTGGGGAGAATTTCACAAATAGCAGCCTGGCCAGGAAGACATTTTGTTGTGGTGGTTTTGGCTGGGGAGGTGGTACTTTTCTGTGCCCCTCAAATCCCATTGCTCTGATGGTGGCTTCATCTGACAGAAGAGGCAGTGGGATATGGTGTGAAGTGTTATGCTCAGATTTAGTGAGATCATTATTGCTGGAGGAGCTCTGAAAATGCAGATTCTCAGGCCCCACCTTAGAGTCTGTGAGCTACATTTTGAGAAATACTGGTGGTGTGGCAAGAGGCGCAGACCTAGGTTCAAGTTCCTTAAATAGCTGTGCAACCTTAGGAGGATATTGACTCCTTCTGAGCTTCCGTATTCTCATCTTTAAAATAGGAATTAAGCCAATCCCACCCACCTCATGGGGGACCACCAGTGAAAGTGCTTCATTCACTGTGCAATGGGAGTGTGAGTGGTGACCATTTCTATGTTCATGCTCAACCAAGTGCTGTGGAGAAATTCAAAGGAAGGTACAGACCCAGGCCCAAACCTCAGAGAAGTTCCTTAAATCTTTGGTGAGACAGGGAACTGTGGGCCCCTGAACGTAATCACTTCTTTGGTGAAGGCTGTTAGCCAGAAGGGGAGGAAGTATGCTTTTCCACCTCTGCTACACTGGTCTCTCCCAGTGAACAACATGACAAAGTGCACCAGAGCCTGAATCAGTCAGGGCATGCCAGGTAATGGAGCAGTAACGAACCAACACTGGGTCTCAGTGGCTAAACACAATAAGGGTTTCTTTTTCTCTCTCTTTTTAATATTTCTTTTATTTATTTGGCTGTGCTAAGAC